ATATGCAATTATCATTTAATAGTTTTAAGTAAGTTCAGGAAATCATATCACACGATTATTATATTTTCCATATAATATAACATTGCCAATCCACAAAAAGAATTAAACAGTTAATGGAATAAAATAGTTATTTGAATTTTCATTACTTAGTAAAATATTTAATATATTTTTTGTTCAATTGATTCATTTCTTTTTGAAAATTTAAACAGAGATAAGTTCGTAGTTTATAAATGTGACTCTTTGCTTACATTTCTTCAAATTTTACGGTAATGCAAAATAAAACATTATACTCTAATTACAAGCTATACGTTTCTACAACCTAATAATTAACGGTATTGTTTTTTTAAATGTTGTTAATTACAGGCAATATAATGTTGTTTTAAAAAAAATATATATGTAAATGATTCCATTTATAAAAAATATATATATATATATAATCTTATCGTAGAAGGAAAGAACGAGCACAAAAAGAAACGGTTAATTCAAAAAAAAAGAATTATATAACTATTTCTCATCAAAAACAAGATGATATAAAAAATTTGGAAACTTAAATTCAAGTTCAACTTTTAAATATCAAATGACGGGTATCATACATGAATATGAAATTTAAATAGCAAAAGTAAGTTTCAAATTACTTAAATATTTCAAATATCGGGACAAGAAATAACGAATACAGAAAGAGAACGTTAGAAAATAAAAAATTATTATCTTAACTAATTCTAATAATATACAAAAGGGAATTATGGGTAACGGGCAAGCTGAAGACATACTATTTATTCATGTGGGTGGACCAAAATATTTCAGTTTGTTGTAGGACATGCATAGTGAACGGGTTTGACTGTCCTGATATCTATATTTATGTTGTTTTATTCAAAAGTTTTAATGTTTTTCATTAGTTTATGTGATGTGATAGTTCACAAATTTAATTGATTTCTAATTTATCACTCATTCAGTTCACACTCGATCCGAGTCTTATATCATGTCGATTAAAATATTAGAAACTTTATGATAAACATAGTTTTTGCAACCAATCCCGCACGTACGTGCGGGTCGATCCCTAGTTAGAATTATTTTATAACTTTATAATTTCTATTTTCAATGAGAATATACGTATTAGATCTATTACTTTTAAACTATTAAAATTCTCTACAATTTGTTTTGTTTATTTATAAATAATAATCATTTTTACTTTATTTTTTTAATTTATCTGGATGTCCAAATCGTTTTGAGGACCGGATCACTCGTACCAGGACACTAAAAACCCAATGGGCCACTGTCGGTTTTAGTTTGTATATAATAAAAACGATTACTCCCTTGCTTAGTGTTGTTGTATCACGCCTGATTGATTTTGTCTACACTAAAAAAAAGGACCTGTCCTAACTACGATTTGTTTCACGTCTGATTAGATTTTATTCAGCAACGAACATGGTGATGACGAAAATAGCTGCGTTTTGGGACATCGGGTCCTGTCCTGTTCCCGATGGTTACAACCCGATGTTGAAGTTGAGCGAGAGATATTCATGAATCTAGTTTCCCAGCTAAGTTTGAAAGGAAACAGACTTCTTTGGGCGTATCCATGTGTTCCTTCAGAGCCTTCATGCTTCTCTGCGGTCGTTTCTAAAACATGGCTATGGACAAGCTTGCTTGAAGCTCGCTTTGATGATTCTGATCATGAACTAGTTGTTTCCAAGGACAAGTGTGCTGTGTGCATTATCTCGTCCCTGGTATTGCCGTATTGTAGTGTATGCCATGTTGAGTGTCATAGCTTTGAAGATTTCACCACGCATCTCAACTTGAGATTCTCAAGAGTGAACAACTTGACTAGAGGGTAAGCATTGACTTCTCTGCTCTTTCTAATCTTATTTCTCATAAACAATTCAGTTCGTCTTGACTCCATTTATGAACAGAGAGACATATATGAACAAGACACACTCAACTCAAATGGTGTCTTGTTCTGATACTTTTGTTTCCCACAATGAAACGAGAATAGAGAGACATATATGAGAATGCCACTTTCGAAACCTGAAAAAGAGAACATGAAACAGATCAAACCTGATTCATTAGACTGATTCAATCAAACATACAAACTGATTCATTATACAGAAGATATCAAGATCAATACAAACAAAATAAGATCAAGATTATAACCGAAAGTTCTAAAGATTATGATACAAACATAAACAGAAAGTCATTCAAACATTAGACAACATGTCAGTTATTAGTTTGTTCTTCAAAGCCAATTCCAAATCAGAAAGTGGCTCTTTTTTTGCAAGAAGAGTTTCCAGCAAATTGTTCTTCGACAGCCTCTGCTTCATTGCCCAATCCTTTTGCTTTATCTCCCACATGCCTTGAAACTCCAACAGATTAGACTTTACTGCCTT